TGAACTTATTGAAAGATAAAAAATAATAAAATTATGTTTCAATGAAAGAAAAGAAGTATTTGTCATTTTAAAAATTAATTAAAAGTAACAAGGGAGTGTTGAAAGAAGTCTAGCATATAATGAAATTGATATTCTGACTGCTAACTTTTAACTACTATATATTAACTACTACAACTAAATTATTTTTATAAACATAATTTAGAAAACAAAACCTAAAATAGCAATTTGCTCCATTTGCTAAATATCATGACTAGTTTTGAATATTTTGCACGAATTCTCCATAGTCTTCTGATAACTATCACTCGAAATGAAATAGAATAAAAAAAATCTCTAATTTACTAAAAAAAGAAAAAAGAAAAAAGAAATGAAAAAAAACACTCGCGATAAACAACAAATAAACTCGTAAATCAAAAGAATATCGGAAAAACCGCGAACTCTCTGCGATTTCAATAATCACGAGTGGCGTTCGAATCGATCAACAGGGCCAACCGTGTTCCACCATATTACTTTTCAATTGATGCACGCTGGTAAACAAGCGTGCAGCTCGCAAATAGCTCGTCGCGACACGATCGAGTCCAAGTAGTGGGCGAATTCGTACAAAGGATCGAACTGAATTAATTAATTATCGACGCGAGAGAAACGCGGGGTCATCAATTCGCGCTGGTAGGAAGCGCGAGGATCTACTTTGATACGGGGATAGTTCATATCCCGTATTAACGATCGGCGGAAATGGCAGCCTGTCACTCCATCGACGTTGATTTGGCAAAACGCGTCAAAATTGAAGTTCGATCTACCCTCGTCGAGACACAAGGGACACACACCTTTGTGTTCTTGTTGCTTGCGTACACTCACGTTCACAACTATCAGGACAGCTCTCTGTTTCGTGCGAAATACGAAATAATGTAAATGGTGTGATTACGTGATCATATTTTATAATTTTTATACAATATTTATATCATACAACGATCGGTAAAATTATTCTCATTTTATTTTTGGCCATATGATATTTTACAAAACAACTCCGTTATATGTATAATTTTATACAGTTGCGAAACTGCAAATTTCAAATTTATTTTATTGTTTTTCCGTTAAATCCCGTTCAAAATACTTTCCAACAGGAATGCAACATTTTTGCGATAAAAGCGTAAATAGTACATAGCATATAGCATATAGCATGTATTATATATAATAAATTTAAATATTGATAAACCCTGTCACTACGTATTCGATTACACGATAGTGAATAATTTAGTACGCAATATATATATATATATATATATATATATATATATATATATATATATATATATCATTATGTAATTTGTTTGAATTATCCAGGAAACATGCAAGATAACGTTGCAAGAATTCCGATAAATTATTCGTGTAAATTATAAGAGAATCACGATTTGTAGAATAATGAAAAGTATGCATTACATGCCGAGTTTCAAAATGCTACCTATAATAAATTACAAATGCGTGGTTTGAAAGTCTGCTTATCTACGTATCACGTTTGAAAAAAATTCATAAACGATGTGTCCAGGAAATTGTATACAATGCTAATGGAATATCGATAACCAGAATATTTAGAAATAGAAGAATATTGTAATTACTACATGTGAAACAAAATTTGAAAACTCCCTTTCTATGAAAACTCGTGCTAACTTTTTCCAGCAGCCTGTATAAAAGTCTTTGGATAAATTTCAAGTCCCGAATAACAAGTTCCACGACATTTGTCTAATCGTGGAATGAGTAACCTAATTGTCAGCGGCTGACTTGTTACTCGTGAACCGGTGTGTACGTGTGCGCGCGAGGTCAGGCCTAATTCAGGATACCACAGATATCGTGTACGCGGCGAGGTATAGCGTGTCGGCTAATTGATGCCGGTTTATTAGCTGCCTCTTTCGGCCACGAAGGCGTGAACTGCCGGAATATTACTCGACGCCTGCCTACGGCCGACCGTAGTTCGATGCATAATTAATTTGAAATTGCATTGCACGAGAAACAGGCAGAGAGAATGAGGCGGACTGGCTAGATGAAAGGGGGCGTGGGGGGGGGAGGGAGGGAGGGAGGGAAGAGACGAATGTCTCACGGAGACACGAGGATGTATCGGCCAGAAGTTGGAACTCGTTGAATGTAATACGTTCGTGATGCTCGCCTGCCGTTTCCTCGCCTGACTGACACGCTTTCCCTCGTTGTTTCTCGCACGGTTTAAAGAGGGAGTCGCGCGCCATTTGCAAAACTCCACTCGGTTCTTACCTCACATCTTCCGTTCTAGAAGAGAAGACAAGACTAAATGTGTCCTGATACACACTTTAAAGTACACTCTTAATGTCTAGCTCATGATGTTACGTTGTCAGCGATTGGTATCGATCATGCACCTTTGCGTATATCCTTTGGGATTGGAAGGACCACACACTGATGTAGGAAATGAATGACTATGATGGATCTTGCCTTGATTTTATTGTGTGATGGCTTGAATACTACTCCTATGGTTTATTGTTAACCTAACTATTATTGTAACTCTTGCCGATTCTTGCTTGACTCAAAAATGTTAAACGATGACCGATCACGATTTCCTCCAAGCCCTTTTTTATAACAAGCCTTGGATTATCTTTTCCAAGCGACACGTCAAGACCAATCAGCAAGGTTTGAAGATTTTCCCAAATTTTCCATCGGATTGACCCGGGTGGGATGGCATCGAGAATGGTTAACTTGTGAAAAACGATCCCATTGCACTTGGTATGACATGGTTAAGGGACCTCGTCATACTTGAGACAAACTGAGATTCATGAGTCTCGCTTAGTCGGAATTTTCTAAGTGGTGAAATTTCTGGATTGGAGCACATCCATGTCATACGTGTTACCCTTGACCTTGACAAACAATTGATGTTATACAGCTGATTTTCACACGTATAGAGTCACGTGTTCACTAAAAGAACACCTGAGCTATGATTTACCCCGTGAATAAACACCAATACTCTTTTGTATCGAAGAAAAATATCTGAAACTCTATCTCCTTCTCCCTTTCACCTTCCACCAGTTTCCATCACGCAACTCGTCGTCAAGCGTTGTTCGTATGCAGCACGCACGTGAGCTGCCTGGAAAGTTAAATTGCCGCTACATTGTGGTTCAAGACGTTGCAACGGCCAGGTGATACGTTGACCAACCAACTTGGTTCGGTGTGCTTTCCTGCATCCGACGCACGTCTCCCAGAGGTTAAGGGCGCGTTGAAGAGTTGCATCAACTTGGCTGTCTGCGTTGCTAGCATTTTTGTTAGCTTCACGCCGCGTCGCTGGTTTATGCTTCTTGGATGAAAGTTTTAAGGGGGCACACGCCTGGGCATCTAGGATTTTATTGACGGAGTGAAAAATGCGTGGAATTATTAAACGCGTTTTGGCGTTGAGTCTTTCTCTTTTTTCTTTTTTTTTTCGATTTGTTGTGTATTTTTTTTTCTTTCTAGAGTAATGAAAGAAAAGGAGTGAACATGGTTTGTTTTTCTCCTTGTAAAATTGATACGGTTGTTTTTACAACGTTGCTCAACTCTTTTAGTGCCAATGAAGAAAACAATTTCGAGGTAATTAAACTAACGTGGTTAGGAAATGAGGCATTGCTTCTAAAAACGTAAATAATTCTGGAATACGCAGCATCCAACAAGTGAAATTATAATAATTAATTTCAAACGAGGAAGAGCAACGATCGGTACAGGATAGGAATCTTTCAATCCTGCGATTGAAGTAAATTTTGTAAAATTTGAGACGTGTAAGTAAATGTTCCTGAAACATGTTCCAGAGTTTGAATAATAGATACGTGATGAATAATTAATGATAAAGTATGAAAGATACATGTTATACATTTCTCGGTACTTGAAACGTGCCTCATAAATGAAAAATGTTTCAATTTCCACATTTTATACAATTTCTGTGATTCTTGATTCGATTCGAGTGTCGTGCAAGGTAATAATTCTCCTGCATTTATGAAAATTTGATAAATTAGAGGAAATGCAGCAAGAAAGAAGGGAACAATTTAATATCTCCGGTGGAAGCTTTTTATCCATTACCTTCGATACAAAGGCATTGAATGCAGCTGAGAAATTAACAATTTTATCATAGAATGAACGATTGGAGGTACTGATGTCGATCTACTTCAGTTAAAATTCCCTTTACCTTTATTACCTTTCTTCTTTAATTAACGTCTGTCGGATGCTAATCTCAATTTGACAATATACACAGAAGAATGTACTAATTCCTTTTAAATTAAATAGCCTAGATCGATTGAAATTGTCTACCAGGACACCACATATCCTTTCAACAATACTGTATTATTTCGCTTAATTTCATATTATTTCGGACACTGAAAAAAATTCAGAAATTAAATTTCAACGAAACAAATTATATTGCTCTGCGAATAAAATAATTCAATTTCATCTGGCAATAGGCAGTGAAATTTAACAATTGTTAAATAACAAACAATTTCATTTTGAAGTGTATATTTATATATATATTTATATATTACTACGTTTTTATTTTATTTTATGACAGGACATGACAGTTTTGTAGATTTCATTACATTTCGTCGATAAATGAATATTAATTTGGATTACACAATTTGTTGTATTTTACAATACTGTTTATAATACGATTCAACGAAGAATCACGCGTGTTAACAATAGCAAAGGTTTAGCAAAGTATAAAAAATTTTCAATATCCAAATTCAAGTGTGTCTTCTGAGAAGCCAAACTTCATTTCATCGCCAGACATATAATTACAGTTTAACGTTCCAAAAATCAAATGACTCGATTTTATTCATCACAAACAGGCGATGAAAAATATTTGGAAAATAGTAGTATTCCCAATTATTCTTCGTCTCTGTATTTCAATAAACTAGCTTGCTTTTCAATTATCGTTGCAAGAGTTGCAACTTTCAAAAAAAAAAAAGAAAAAAAAATCTCCATACACATTTCTGTCAATGGCAAACCAAGTGAAT